AGCCTAGCTGGCCAGCGGGGCCTCGGTGGCGACCTCGGTGCAGGGGATGGTTTTAGAGATGCGGCGTTTTTAGCAGGGGTTGTTTAAACGACTCTAAGCACTCTAAGCCCCAAACCCAAAGCCCAGTCCTTGTGGAGCCGTATAAATCCTCAACCCGAACCGCTTCTCGAACGTGCCGAGAAAAGATGTTAGAGCATTGAAGCCCCCTTTCTAACTTGCTCAAGCCTCAGCCGAAGCCTCGGACTAAACCCTGGGACTCTCCTCAGCATCTGAGCATCACAGGGGGATCGCTGAAGTCGCGTCTGTTTTAATTCCTTTGGGTGGGGGTCGGGTACTGTCGTAGAATTTCTAGTACTGATAATCTTACTTTGCTTATGCATCATGCTGCAACACAGATCTTCGCATCTACATGACTACATGCGGTTTGCCGCCCGTGCATCAACGCGGTATGCGTCCTGAGCTGTGCTAAAAGGGCCTTCACGGCCACCCATGCAAACCATCAACAATCCTCGCGGTCCGGGTGGGAGTGTTTTGGGCTGAGTAGGCCTGAAATCCGGGGTGGGGACTTTTACTGAAAGAGCCTTCAGGGCCCTGTGAAAAACACGTGAGAAGGAAGACCCTCCGTGAGCATACCGTCCGAGTGGTTAAGATACTAGCTCGTGGTATACGTCCAGAATTGAAGACCAGGAGGCAAGCCCGCGTCCAAAACTAGAAAACTGCCTTGTTCCACGCATGCTGCGCTGACCTTTTTCCGCATTACGTGAACGTGACGTCCTTTGTGCGCTCTGTGGGCTGTGATTCTTGCCCTTGCTTAGTGCAAAGCTTGCCTGTACTGTGGTGTTCCCAGCGCCAGCTGCAAGTATGCTTGATGGTATGCGCTTCAAAGCAGTTGGCAATAGTTGGCAGTTTCCCCGCAGACTTCAAAGAACCGCTGTATGGAAAGTGCAAGCTGTGCTGGGACACGCATCCCCTGCAGGCTTGGACCCTGCGAGAAGGCCATCAGAGCTCTTGCCATCAGAAGGTTTCTGCGCTTCTGGTTGTAGCCCTTATGAGGCATGTCTTGCGTTCAGACTTCTCGGTGGGTCTGGTTGTGGTTGGGGCTTTGTTACTTTGTAACTTTGTAGGGCGTATGGCAGATCGAAGCCCTCGGATTGATCTTTGATGGGATTGTGCGAAGTCGGCCCCAAGATTTGGGCCCTCTTGGGTTCAACATCATGTCTGCTGACTGTTTGCCATTGCGCGTGTTTAGGTTGTGCCAAAAAACAGGGCCCAATAGTCAGCCTTCAAGTCCTTCAAGCTGACAGCAGGGGCGCAGCTCCAGCCCCGGTGATCGGGGACGCTGGAGCGTGCATCCCGCTCCACTGCTGCCGACGCCGCTCGGCTTTAGAAATCGTGACGTCTTAGGGTTTAGGGTTTAGGGTTTAGGGTTTAGGGTTTAGGGTTAGGGTTTAGGTAGGTCTTCAGGGTTCCACGAACTTGGGCTGCATCGAGGGGTATGACAGCTCGTTGCGCGATCCTTTCTTGACCAAGTTTCCACCATCTTGTTTCTCGCCAGGGGCCAAAGGATCACCTCCGGCACATGCGCACGCATGTGGCAGGACCGCCTGTTCATGTGGACACTGGGTGCATCGAAGCTAGACAGCCTATATCTGTGCTGCGTGTGGTTTTCCCTATACGACCCTGCTTGAATCACCCGAAGTCGCACACTTGGTTGGGCCGTTGGGCAGCCTCTCCAGCCTGGTTTGTCTTCGATTGTCTACCCGAGTCTACCCTCCCCGCCGTTGAGACGGTGTCATACTCCATGTTACTGAAACTATGTTGGCGACAGTTGAGCTCGTTCCAGCTTCCTCAGGAAGATTTCCTGGCAGATCGCAGCTGGCGAGGGCCTTGGAGACCTTTCCGCTTTTCGTCGAACCGGGTGTCTGAGCAGATCATACTCTCCTTTAACCCAGTCAAGAAGTCAATGAGGCAACTTGCTGCCCTCCCAAGCTAAGACCCAGCCAGAGGCCTGAAAAGGAAGCCTCAAACTACACTAATATGCAAAACTCTTCATGTCATGCTGGATACAGGCGTCGCGGCTCGGGTTCAGGACTTTGGAGGATTTGGGAGTTACTGCTTCCATGGGAAACCCCAAGCATCCCGGACACCCAGCCTGTATCCGGCTTGCACCTCAAGGCCTATTGTGACAGCCCTCCTAAGCTTTACTTTGTCGTAGTTGGGCAACATTTTGCATTTTTAAGGGTACTTAAACCCAATAAGGAAGAGAAATTCAATATTTTTCATGCTATCCCAACCATGAACTAGTTTAGGGTTGAGGGTTCGAGCTGAAGCCCCTACCCTCATGCCGCATGCGAATGCCAAAGAGAATCTGAAACTGCATCAGACAATGCCTTCTGGCAGAGCCGAATGGCATAGGCGAACATGAAGCCTTCTCATCATGGTTTTGAAGAGGGGGTGTAAGGAACTTGGAGCCTCCGGTGCGACATGCCGTGATGGCCAAGAAGCGTCGCAGGGCTTCCATGCACAGTTGCGTCTACACGGGGGTTCGTGTTGGCTTTTGTTTGGGCCACAGGGCCTCTTCAGAAACAGTCTCAGTCCAATGTGGCCCAGCCCCGCATGCGGCCCAGGAGATGGTGACGCCCGAAGAGTTGGAAGGGGAGATCCGGAAGATCGCTCACTTGCATCACCTCCCGACAAGCGTGCGAATCGAAGCACAGCGGATCGGGTGGCGCGACCAATTCAAATGCCGAATTGTAAAGAGTTTGTGCCATTTGAACGATAAGGGACTGACTATATATATATATATATTTTTATATCTGCACATATGTATATATATATATATATATATATCCTACACGACCGTAAAGGGTTGCTGGAGTCTTTGGACCATAAACTGTTTAGAGCTGTCATTTAGCGCCCCAAAGAGCCTAAAGCCCTACATCGGCACCAGAACCTAGAGAACTGACCATTTCCACAGCCGAGTCTGTGGGCTACTTGGAGGTTCATGGTACTTATCAACCAATTATTCCTGTACTTATATCTCTGTACTTATAACAATACTAGGGCACTCAAGGGGGCTTATCAGTGGGTTATACGTACAGTTCTTATTGGCTAATAAGTACCATGAACCTCCAAGTACCAACAAACCCTAAACCCTAAACCCTAAACCCTAAACCCTAAACCCTAAACCCTAAACCCTAAACCCTAAACCCTAAACCCTAAACCCTAAACCCTAAACCCTAAACCTGAGGGTTTTAAGCACCTATAGAGTTCGCGGCCGGCTGGGGGCCAATGCGGGCTTCATGCTAAGACTCCATGCCCGAAGATGGCTTAAACGCTGAGGGTGCGGGCTTTGGGGCACTTCTTGGCTTTTTGGGGTTGTGGGCTAGCTAGGCCCTAGAAGCTCTTGAGTCCATATGTACACTTGTTCTAATGGCAGCACTACCATGATCACGCAGAGCTATGTAATTAGGGCACCGAGCCCTCCTTTCGTGGTGCATCATTCTGTCCACACAACAGGCATCAAACTCTTCGCTTGAAACTCATACTTGTGAGCCCGTGATGGGCCCAAGACGGGCCCAAGATGGGCCCAAAACGGGCCCGGGATGGGCCCAAGCTCCCTGCCAAATCCTCGGCCTCGCTACGTCTGATTGGTTCGCATTGCCGAAGTGGTTGTTGCCAAGGTTTTTCATATTCGTAACCCTCAACCCTAAACCCTCAACCCTAAACCCTAAACCCTAAAGCCTATAAACCCTAAACCCTAACCCCTCAAGGCTAGAGCTGGACCATGGGGTTGCGCACAGAAGAGCTCAGGCTCACGAAGAATCGGTCTGCGCAATTCCTGCCGCTTTTCAAGAAGGAAAGATGTGAGAAGGCGTCCTGAGCGGACACTCGCGGGGGTTTAGGCGGACCCTACTTGTGATGACAAAGCCAAGGAATGCTGCTAGTACAACCCGAGCGCGCACTCCTGCAACAGGAGAACCCCCCCACCCCCCAAGAACAATGTAACAAGTTCCGCCATTTGACTATTCCGAAGACTTCGCTAAGCCTCCGGTGGGCTTCAAATGCCGAATGACCTCGTCCGTTAATCTAAACCCTAACCCTATTTCCAGTCGAGCCGGAAAGCTGCTCTTCAAATCTGCCTAAGAGATGTCTTTCGTCTTAGGGTCACCCTTTGCGTATCCCCTACATAAGAAGGCTATGTCATACTTATGTATTCTGAGCGCTGAAGCTTGAGTACCTGCGTGGCGTCAGCTTACACCAGGGGATGCCACCCCGCTAATCAAGCGGCCCAAGTCCCACCTCGAAGCTGCTTCGCTTTCACAATGGCATTGAACCCTCAACCCCAAAATCGAAGTCCCAATTACATCCCCGAAATGCGAAGCTTAGACCCCTTGCCTGGACTCGGCGAATTCAAGGTTCAAGCGGCACCTCCCCCCCTCCCCCCCCAATGATGGCCGCCTCCACCGACGAGGCGAAGGTGCGCCGGTCAACCCTAAAGTTTGGACCCTAAACCGCCTCGGAACACAGTGCAACCTGAGAGTTCATAGGGCTGTTGGAGATGGGCCTGATTGGACATCTAGGACCCAAAGTGGGGCCGTTATTCCCTTTCTTAGGTTTAGGTTCCCTTATAAGCCCCTGAACGCCAAGAAGGGCACCCTTTGTATTGCTAAGGTCGCTCTGGGGTCTAGACATTGCTTGCTCGGCAGACCCGAAAGGCATCAAGCTTGGACGTGATGTTTGCTCAGAGACCACCCTCCTGCGGCCATCGGTCATGCGTTCTGACGGAGCGGCTATAGGGCTTATTGGGTGTTTAGAGGCTTTAGGGCTGCAGAGTTTATAATTCGGGGTAAAGTCATGACAGGAATTCCGTGTGCGCTGCGGCTGTTTCTTTCGATGAGGTGCCTTGAAGGCTAAGTTGGCTCAGTCCCAGTTGACCCGCGCTTTGTAGGCCAAGTCCCGGTCACCGACTCTCGATCCTCTTGCCCCTTTTGGTGGCAATGTTTTGGGTCTTGGCGTCTGCCTACTTGGCGACCAGCCTCAGCGAGACTATTCCGTGCACCGACAAGCCGAGTTGCATCGAGTTCCTGAAAGATTGGCAAAATCACCGGTCAGATTCGGGGAAGCCGAGGGCTGTTTGGGCATGGACGCACTTGGGGGCTGCAGGTGGGTCGGGGAACCATGGGGGGGGGGGGGGCTGTTGAACACTGCTCGCACAAACCTCCAGGACACCTCATTGTCATGTAAATTCTGTAGAGAAGTAGAGCAGCCCCAGGTGGCGGTCTCCTCCATTCGGACGAGTGGTATAGCCAGACAGACTGCTTCGTTGAGGCTTTGAAGCTCAACATCAGCAATGCCGATGCATGGTCCCATTTGGGTGTTGCCTTACAAGGGACTTTCGGGGTTGCGTCTCTGCACCGCAAGTCCTACAACGCATCCGACTGCTTTGTGGAGGCTGTGAAGTTGAACCAAACGAATCCAAGAGCGTGGTCACACCTGGGCACAGTTGGTGGGGGGTGGGTCAACTCCAAATGGCACAGTCACATGAACCGTTTTGGGTAGACTTCGTTTCGGTTTTAAGCTGCTTCTGGTTTCCTGGGACACGTTTGTAGAGGCTTCAGAGGATTCAGGGCAGTTGAGGTCAGATGGATTGCTATATCAAGTCTCTCGAGGACAGCGATGACGCAGACACCTGGGTAAACTTAGGCACGGCAGGTGGCGGCAAGGTCAAGGAGAAAAGATACAGTCCAAGGGAGTGCTATGAAAAAGCTCTTTGGTTGAACAACGAGAGCTCCACCGTTTGGTATAACCTCGGCAATGATGGAGGTGGGATGGTACGTGGCGAAGATGTGAGCAATTGCTCCTGCTACTTGCGCTCATTGAACCTCGACCCCAAGTTTCCTCACGCATGGCTCAAAGTGGGCAAATGTGGCGGTGGCAAGGTGACGGGCGCTTGTGATGGCAGGAAGTGCAGCCGGAAGCATTGCTACGAGAGGGCCGCGGAGATTCATCCAAGGTTCGGAGAGGCGTGGGAGGCTTTGGGCGGTGTCGGCGGTGGCGAAGTTCACGGCGTGAAGTACACCTCGGAAGACTGCAAGTCAAAGGCCCAGGCCTTGCTGGCCCGGGAGGAGGCCGAGGGCTGGTACGGCTTTGGCGTGGCCGGTGGCGTCCGCCAAAGCAACGGCGTCCACTACAGCAAGGAGGAGTCTAGGTAGGCCCTTGGGGGACCATTTTATATTTCTTCCCTTATTGGGTTTAACAGAGATCATATTGAGGAATGTTTCCCCTTTTTATTGGGTTTAAGAGAGATCAGATTGAGGAATGTTTTTTCAGAGGGGTTTCCTTGGCCATCCCAGGAGTGTTTCAAGAAGGCCGAAGAGCGTTTTGACAAAGAGCTGTATGCCGGCGTGTCCCACCTCTCCATACACAGTGCTCAGGCTTTCCGGGTCATCGCAGGAGCACTCCTGGATCGTGGAAGTCCCGGGCACCGCAAGTTCCAGGCTTTCATGAGGGCGGTCTTTCACGCGTGCCACCCAGCGTCCCAGTTGTGCCTGGTTGAGGAGAAGGTGTACGAAAAGAGGGGAACAATATCGGTCCCCCAAATGGTAGGATACCCTTGTAATAAGGGCTCCAATGCGGTACCCCGAACTTCGGAAACCCCCAGGAGGCCAGGCAGGATGACTTTGCGGATATGCTCAGCCGCCACATTTACGTTGGCAATCATCCCGCGCCTCTGGAAACGATTCAGGCAGTCTTGATTGGAGCCGTGAGCCACAATGTTGCTGCATGTCATGCAGTTCAGCAAGCATGCCGAGCCAGATGAGTCCTCAATGCGGGAAGCCGCCTGCAGAGCTCAAAGAGCATGGACGCGGGAGCAGCACGTACGAGGGAACCAGGCCAGGATTCGCCGAAGCTGCCTCTGACATGCAGAGATTTGGGGGGAATTCCCACTCATTTGGGGCGCGCCCTCTCCCTTTCTCAAGCCCATCCGCCTAGACCCTAAACCCTACACATCTCAACACCCTAAACCCTACATCCCTCCACCCTTAGCTAGGTAGGCCCTTTGGACTATGCTATATTTTCCTGTATTGGGTTTAAGAGGTCATGTTGAGGAACATTTTCAGAGGGGTTTAAGGGCCATCCTAGTTAGCCCTTAAAGTCCTAAACCCTAAACCCTAAACCCTGAACCCCTGAAGGGACAGAGACTGCGAGCCGACCCCTGCAACACCGAAACCGTCGAGACCTTGGCCAAGCGCCTGTGGGAAGATGTCCGAGATCCAGGAGTGCCGAAGCGAGCGCAAGGTTCTTAGGGGTTAGGGTTTAAGGGCTTAGGGTTTAGGGTTTAGGGCTTAGTGCTTCGGGCTTAGGGCTTACAGGGTCTGAGGTCCCTGAACCCTATAAGAACCTCACGCCCCAGGGGGCAAGCCCGAAACACTAAGCCAACACTGCGGGGTCCACGTGCGCATGTAATGTACACTTGGGACACTAAAGCTAGTATATAGGAGTCCCTTTAAACGCCCACTTGTACACCATGTACAGCTCCATGGACCCTGCAGGCAAGCTAGGGCATGTAGGCTTTCAGGGTTACCCCCCTATACAACGCCTATCTACATATATATATATATGTATATGTGTTTATATATATATATATATATGTAATCTGAAATCGTCACTGTATGCCTAGGTCGCAGTTACGATGGACCATGTGATGCTTGAAGTGCTTTTTGTAGAAGTATTCACAACAACGGAAGAAAGCAAAGCAGCTACATTACCCCTAGGGTCCCTTAGAAGGGTCCCTTAGAAGGGCCCCTCCTTTAGTCCCATGAGTGGTCACCCTAAACCCTACACCCTAAACCCTAAACCCTGAACCCTAAACCCTAAACCCTAAACCCTAAACCCTAAACCCTAAACGGCCAGACTCGCAGGACTGGACTCTGGCGCCACTGGTGCCTTCCTTGCTTTCCTTGCCTTCGCGGCTCTGGCGGCCTTGGCTGGCTCTCTCGTTTGGAGGAGAAGGGCACAACAAACCCTAAATTTAAACCCTAAATTTAAACCCTGAACCCTAAACCCTAAACCCGAAACCCTAAACCCTAAACCCTAAACCCCAAACCCCAAACCCTAAACCCTAGGGTTCCTAAACCCCGAACCCCAAATCCCCAATGGATTTGCCGTGCCAAACGTGTTAACTCACTGAGGAGAGGCAGGTGGCTACTGGCCGAATAGGGTTTAGGGATTAGGGCTCATCGAACCTATAGGCCCTCTGAATAGGGTTTAGGGTGTGGGGTTTAGGGTTTAGGGTTTAGGGTTTTTGTGTTTAGGGTTTAGGGGTACGAAGCAGCCGGTGCAGGAGGCAACCGGCGTCCGACCGCGTCTTGGTACCAGACGACGAGGTCCACATTCTGGAGGGGTAGGCCTTTCTCTCTACACTTAGGGTCCCTTTTTGGGTTCAGGGTTAGGGTTTAGGGCTTGGGGTTTAGGGTTTAGGGTTTGGGGTTTAGGGTACTAGGCTCTTTTGTATGGTCTCTTTTCGTGCTTCCTATACAATAAGGAGGTCTAGTGTACTCAAGAAGGGACCTTAAATCGGAGAACTCGCCACATGCAGGGTTTTACTATACCACATGATGGCTTGTTTTCTTTGGACATGCTTCCAGAGATCTACTCAGAGAGCCCAAGCCCCTTAATGAAGGAATGTACCTTCGGGTTTAGGGTTAGGGTTTAGGGTTTAGGGTTTAGCGTTTAGCATTTAGCGTTTAGGGTTGGGTTTAGGGTTAGGGTATTTCTTATAATTACTATATAGGGATGAGTATGATTGAAGGTAGACTCCTGAATTAAGGCGCATTGGGCAATTCAAAGACACGCCGCCGTCTCCCCGTAATGGGCGGCCGGCCTGTCACCGGTGACCTTTAATTAGGCACCGACGCCGCTTCAAGTGACTTTTGCGGTGTGCATTGGCTTTGTGTCCCGCAGGGAGCCCGACACCCCTCATGGAATGTACCTCGAAAAATACAGGGATCCTGAATATGATTTAAGGTGACATTCCTTATTTGAGGGGGTATTGGGCTCATTGGGTTCTTCCTGTGTACAGGTCTTCTTGAAGCGCCACTTGTTTCGGCTTCAAGAGCGAATGCTGCCCGAGCCTGTGCATGCTGCCCAGTGTGACAAAAGCTCGTGGGGCATTTGCGGGACCGCTGCAGTGAAATCCAGTCGTCACCTGGTATCTTGCCAGCCTTGAACCCAGCCACCCAACTACCTGAACCACAAACTCCCTAAGCCTTCCACGGGACTTCCCCCCCAACACCACAAGACATCCCAGGTGTGCGGAAAAATGGGCGCAGCGAGGGTGGGACAGATTCGAGCCCTTTTTGCTGCTCTGAGAGGAAACTTGTGTGTTTAGGGCTTGGGGGGGGTTTTCAGGGCGTGTTTGGGATTTCAGGGTTTGGGTTTCAGAATTGAGGGCTTAAGGGCTTATGGGCTTAATTCTGGGCTCAAGGAGCTTTAGAAAGGTTTAGGGTTTAGGGGGGTTTGGGTTTAGGGTTTAGGGTTTAGGGGTTTGGGTTTAGGGTTTAGGGTTTAGGGTTTAGGGTTTAGGGTTTAGGGTTTAGGGTTTAGGGTTTAGGGTTTAGGGTTTAGGGTTTAGGGTTTAGGGTTTAGGGTTTAGGGTTTAGGGTTTAGGGTATCTTAGGAGACTTTGAAGGCAGCCCCAGGCTGCCTCCAGGGCTGAGGCTTTGTAGGCTTCAGGGTTTGTAGAGCTTCTAGGGCTTGCAGGGCTTCTAGGGTTATATGGGGTTTATGGGGTTTATAGGGTTTATAGGGTTTATAGGGGGTTTATAGGGTTTATAGGGGGTTTATAGGGTTTATAGGGGGTTTATAGGGTTTATAGGGTTTATAGGGTTTAGGGGTTTATAAGGGTTTTTATAGGCTTTAGGGGGCTTCGGAGAGGTTGTAATCTTTCAGATGTGGGCTTCCACACCGGCTAGCCGGATCCATGATGGTCTCCATGCCACAAACATGAGCAGTTGCGGTGCTCTCAGTTTTGGGGGAGGTTTAGGGGGTAGGGTTCAGGGGTTAGGGTTTAGGGTTTAGGCTTAGGGGTTATGAAGCCAGAGCGCCAGTTTTGCGTGGCTTGCGGCTGTCTGTTTGGAAGCCTTGCGCCCAAATTCACGCCCTCAAAAACACCAAAGAACCCCAAAAAACCTTCAACAACCCCCAAAAGTCTATAAAACCATGTAAAACCCTAAAAGGCCCTAAAAACCCTAAACCCTATAAAACCCCAGAACCCCAAAACCCAAAATACACCCTAAAATCCCCTAAGCCCTATAAAACCCCGGGACCCAAAAACCCTAAACCTTCCATGAACTCGGGCGGCCATGCATCGGCCCGGGTCCGGAGCACCAGGGCATGCGGCCCCCTCATCGCCAGGCCCGGCGTCGCCTCTCTAGGGTTTAGGGTTTAGGGTTTAGGGTTTAGGGTTTAGGGTTTAGGGTTTAGGGTTTAGGGTTTAGGGTTTAGGGTTTAGGGTTTAGGGTTAGGGTTTAGGGATTAGGGTTTCGGGTTTAGGGTTTAGGGTTTAGGGTTTAGGGTTTAGGGTGCCCAAACCCAGAATTGATCGTTGAACCCTGCCTGAAAAAGAACCCCAAAACCCACTTCTTGGTGCAGATTCTTCATATAGGCTTCTTAGGGGTTTCGGGTTTCCCAGGTAAGCACTAAACCCGAAGCCCTAAACCATGAATATGCTTGGGGTTAGTTTAAGGCCTTGAGGCTTCTTCGTTTTCTTAGGGCATGCCTGTCTTGCCCAGGCATTTTCAAAAATCCCGAAAGAAAAGCCCGAAAAGCCCCACGTATCTCTGAATCCTACCCTAAACCCTGAACCCTAAACTCTAAATCCTAGAACCCTAAGCCCACAAACTGAAGGGAGCCCTGAGGCGACTCCAGATAAAGGGACTCCCCCCCACCCCCCCTGTATTAATGGAATAGGGGCCTTATGTGTTTTCCACGACAAGCTCTACGGTAAAAGCCCCAGACCCCATCACTATCTCAAAATGGGTACTTCTCTAAATTAGGGTGCCTGTTTGGGTCCCTGTGTATTGCGGCACTCCCAAAAAAGAAGGACCCCAACAAATTGACTTGAATTTCGAGAACTGCCCAAATGCGGAAGAAAGCACAACACGCCTTCCCTCAAGGGTTTCCCAAAAATGAGACCGCCAGTCTGCGACCCGACTAGTCTAGACGTAGTAACTGTTTCGTGTCTGGCAGGTGCCTAAACCCTAAACCCCAAACCCTAAACCCTCAACCATCATCTCTAAACCCTAAACCCTAAAAGCCTAAACCCTGAAAATGTTTAGGAGGTTATCTCAGGTGCGGGAGAGAGATCCAGATGCCGACTACTTTGTCATAGGGTGAGGAGCGGGGGGTGCAAGGGGGTATGTAACCCGAGTTTCGCTAATACTCTTCACTACTCCCTAAGCCTACTTTGGAGTTAGCGTTTAGGGTTTGGGTTTAGGGTTTTGGGTTTCGGGTTTTCGGACTTTGTAGCAGTTGGGCTTGCAGGTGGGTGCGCTAAACCCTCAACTTTTCACCCTGAACGCAATGAGCCCCACCAACCCAACAAACCCAACAAGCCCCATACCCCTGCCAAGCCCAACAAGCCAAAGTGCACCCTAAACCCTGAACCCTGATCCCTAAACCCTAAAGCCTAAACCCAATATATAGATATAAACTCATCTAGGACCCAGAGTTGGCCCTTGTTCCCTTGTCTCAGGGCTTAGGTTCCCGTCGAAGCCCCTGTAAACGCAAAACGGGTGCCCGTTTTATTCCTGGGTTAGT